CATCATTAATTGTTTACATTCGAACGATGCAAATCACTTCCGATACAGTAGTCGAAGCGTCTTTAAAATCCTGTAACAGCACATACCTACAGAAATCAAGACATATTCACACATATAGCGTTCTACTATAATCAGCCATCACAATATTTTTTAATGTATTAGTATTCGAATGTTTTATTACATCTTGACCTGTATATATCTTAAATTTGATACTAGGTCCTGATTTAAATTCATACAATTAATCTGGAGAAGTTGTTTCTGTATACGAATAAAAAACGTTCGTTAATATTCTTTTTCGATCGGACAGGAGAAATTTAATTTAATTTCTTGGAATTGTCGTAACTTGAATCAATTAGAGAGATCAAAGATCTCTTCATATCTTTGTCTCAATACACATGTCTTTCATTTGAAATCGTTAGATTGAGATCGATTATATTATATTCGACTGGTGATATTAATCCCCCTTGATCTCTCGCTCTGTTCACGTATACAGTAATTCGTCGCTATCTTTCTGAACTCGTCTGAATGATACCACTAAGTTTATTGTCGCTCTCCATTTAAAATAAAATTAAAAGTTTATTATAAAGATTTTCATTTCAAAGCTTTCTATTTGAAATAAAATTGAGAGTTAATTACTAAGGATAATAAGTAATAAATTTATTATTTGCATTGCCTGGCTTATGTTTAAATACAATTACAAGTAATAAAAAATATATAATTGGAACTTTGGACGTATATATAGCACGTCGTTCCAGCGCATGTTAACGATCCAATAGAATTCCTCGGTACGCGATTTTATTGCATTTATACGAATCGCCAAGGTGTAGGATCTTCAACAGGATATCGTTTCTCTTCCCCCTGGATCCAGTACTCTCTATGGTTATTATCGCTCACTAATCTTAATTACATTCGATCGAGTTCTTCTTCAGAAGTTTCGATGCTCTGATTTTATTCCTGAGGACGATCAATTTCATTACTTTCAGAAAATTATGGACGTATGAATTGTTGAGTGTAATAAAAGAGCAAGCATTACGAAGAATATTTATTAATTAATTGATTGCAGATACCTTATATCTTAGTTACCTTATACTTTGGATGATCGATCTTTTATTTTTTTGATCATGCGCGACCACTGAGAGTAATCGATTGTTGGGAAAACGAAGGGTGGCTTTGACATTTTCGTGATAATGAAGGGACGGAACTTCTGAACATCTATTATCCGGGAGAAGGAAATTCCGTCACATGATGGCATCGAGATGGGCATTCTGTAATTCAACGATTGCTTGTTGTTAGTTAGTCGCAAGACAATTCTATCAACAATTAACATCAATTAGAAATTAGAAGTAGGAAAGTTAGAAACCTTACTTAGGTGGCAAACAACCCTCTATAGTATAAACAATTACATCCTTCGTAGAAAGATCAATGTTTCTTCTCGAGCGTTGCATCGTATCAGAAGCGTGTTGATCGCTTAAATCTTCTTTTGAGTCCGACAATCTAATAAACATTTTTATCGACAGTGGAAAAAATTTCTACCATTTCGAAATATTTGGCAATAACTAAAGTCTAAAAATTCGGATATATTTCCGTCGCAAGATTAATCTTCGCTCAACCTGGACTATTTTAGTTAAACTTCTTATTCATCGACTGACGCTAACGCGTATTCTGAACGTCACACATAAACATGTGTATATTATTGCATAATATTATACAGTATTTAACTATAAAAACTATAAACTATAAGAAATTAAAAAGCTATAACTATACTATAACTATAATATAATTTATAAATATAAAAAAATAAATATAAAAAAACTATAACTATACTATAAAAAATTTAACTATAAAAAAATAACAAGTCTAGTACTAAAAAGTCTTGTCGATAAGAAACATCTATGATGAATAAAAATAATCAGGCGTCCTCTCTCTACATGAGGAAAGATTAATCTCAGACTTAATTGTTAATTATCAATTAAAAGTTGTTCTTATGAAAAGAATTGACTTAACAATTAATTGAAAAATCTTCATATCCGAGGAGTAATCTGAGACTTTTAATATTCGAATAATTGATCAATCTAAAAATCTAAAATTCACTCACAACTTTGGATCGCATATCGGTAGATTCGGATCAATGAAGAGACATTCGTAGGTTGTAGAGGAGGTGGACGCTGGTTCAGGGATCAAACTGTTTGCCGTATCTGTCGCAATTGGTTGACTTGTTGTGTATTGAATAATTTGGAATGCAAGGATCAAGATCATATTCCTCATTGTTGCCATTTTCCTTTATTAGTTGTCGTTTATAAAAAGTTGCACATCTGTGGGAAATTTTGCAACGTTATGATCACTCTTAATAATATTATATATTATATTATATAATATAATAATGTCTTAATATAATATAATCTTAATAATATTACGACATTGCTGTTGAGGAATTCTCGTCGTCTATTGTGCAACTAAATTCTAACTTGTCTTCGGTTAAAAGAATAAGGAGTCATTTAACTCTCTATAAAACTCGAAAGTTACGTCAAATCATTTTCCTCTACACTTTTGAATTGTCTATTTCCGTGTCTCTAATTACTTAATTTTATTACCTTTTATTATTACATTGCGAATCTTTCTGAAATTCAATACTTTCGTAATCAGAATTAACGAAAGTTTATTCACTAAATAACAAGTATCGATATTTTATATATTTGATATTTTACGTTTTACATCGATATATGTACAACATGTATATCAATTCAATGTCAGAATGAGACTCGTGCTTGACAGTTCTTTAATCTTATTTTTTTCACCAATCAGTAGCAATTTCGAAAGTTTCGATCGAATATCGAAACAGCTCGCACCCATAAATCTATCAGGCCGCGCGTCAACAATCCCTCAACCGACTCTCCTCTCTCGGTCAAACCATTCTCTTCGACGAGAGGTCGAATATTATGCGGTGGCATTCTCCTTAAATCGAGATCCCTCGGATCTCGCCAGGTGTTTAATTGGACGCGATTGTTTGCGAGAAATCGTCATTCAACTCTCGTCACCTATATCAAGCTCGTTGCGTACACTAATGCGAGCCCGATTTCGAAGCGTTTAATTTGTTGTCGACGTATTCATTCTAATAATGCCATTACACCACTAATGATAATGATCTCCTCGATTCGTCGACCAATTTTTTTAATTGCATTAATAACCATGGACGACCGTTTATTGGCAGGTGTCGTAAGATCGTTAC